TGCCCAGGCTGGTCTTGACCCCCTGGGATCAGGCAATCCCCTTGCCTCAGACTCTCAGAGTGCTGGGATTACAGGCTTGAGCCACCATGCCTGGCCCACAAAGTCTTATTTCTAAACCCACAGACAAAATAAAAATAAAGAGATGGTGGCACCATGCCAAAGAAAGCGGCAAAGGTCCCCTGCTTTCACAGCCTTGTTCCCCTGTGTGCATACATGCGGTTCTTCAAGCTAAAATTAATTACAATTGAAAACTGAGTTCCTCGTCTGCACTAGTGTCACTTTGAGTGTTCAACAGCTATGTATGGCCAGTTGCAAGTCTATGAGCAGGGACATCAGAGAATGTTTTCATCATGGCGGAAAATTATGCTGGACAGCACTACCCTAGAAAAATAATCCTTTGGGGGACCTGTTACACATTGGGTCAATACTATGTTTAAAAAAGTACAGTCAGCCAGGATCAGTGGCTCAGCCTATAATCCCAGCACTTTGGGAGGCTGAGGTGAGTGGATTGCCTGAGCCTGTGGGTTTGAGACCAGCCCGGGCAACTTAGTGGGGCCTAGTCTCTACAATAAATTTTTTTAAAAAATTCGATGGGAGCCGGGCTTGGTGGCTCAGCCTGTAATCCCACGCCTTTGGGAGGCTGAGGTGAGTGGATTGCCTGAGCCTGTGGGTTCGAGACCCGCCTGGGCAGGCGAGACCTCATCTCTACAATAAATCAAAAATTAGCCGGGTGTGGTAGCGCGCACCTGTAATTCCAGCTACTCAGAAGGCTGAGGCGGAAGGATCGCTGGAGCCCAGCAGGTCGAGGCTGCGGTGGCCGGGAGCGGCCACTGCACTCCAGTCTGGGCAACAGAATGAGACTCCAACTCAAAAAAAAAAAAAAAAAAATTAGATGGGCATGGTAGCATACACCTGTAATTCCGGCTACTTGGAAGCCTGAGGCGGAAGGATAACCGGAGCCCAGCAGGTCGACGCTGGGGTGGCCATGAGTGTGTCCCTATACTCCAACTTAGGTGTCAGAGTGAGACTCCAACTCGAAAGAAAAAAAAAGTGCTGTCAGCTGGGATCAGTGGCTCGGCCTATAATCCCAACACTTTGGGAGGCAGAGGTGAGTGGACTGCCTGAGCCCATGGGTTCGAGACCAGCCCTGGCAACTTGGTGAGACCTCGTCTCTACAATAAATCACAAAATTAGCTGGGTGTGGTAGCACACACCTGTAGTTCTGGCTACTTGGCAGGCTGACATGGAAGGATGGCTGGAACTCAGCAGGTTGATGCTGGGGTGGCTGTGAGTGTGCCACGGCACTGCAGCCTGGGTGACAGAGTTAGACTACAAAAAAAAAAAGTGCAGTCATCCTTTTTCCTTATTTCCAAGTTTTAGATGAGTTTTCTTAGTAGTATGCTTATACAGTAACTTTGTTCATGGCAACATAAAGCTAAGCTAGAGGGCTAGACAGACTATGAACCCCATGATATCAGGGACAGAGCCTCAATTCTCCCATGATCCCTAGCACCGAGTGCAGGACCTGACACATAGCAAGTGCTCAATAACAGATATATAGGTTGGGCACAGTGGCTCCTGCTTGTAATTCCAGTATTTTGGGAGGCCAAGGCCGGAGGATTGCTTGAGCCCAGAAGTTTAAGACCAGCCTGGCCAACATAGTGAGACCTCATCTCTATTTAAAAATGTTAAAAATTAGCTGGGTGTAGTGGAGCACACCTATAGTCTCAGCTACGCAGCAGAGTGAGGCTGAGGTAGGAGCATCCCTTGAGCCAGGATTTGAGATTACAATGAGTTATAATCATATCACTGTTCTCCAGCCTGGGTGACAAGAGTGAGACCCTGTCTCTAAAAAATAATAATACTAATAATAGATATTTGTTAAGTGAATTAATGAAAGGTGTGAAATTCAGTGTCAAACAGGTCCCTTTGCAGTGGCTTTCTCAGGTTGGCTTTCAGCAAGTTTTGAGGACTAAGTGGGGGGGGTCAGTGGCAGCAATGCCTATCCTAGGCTCTGACACCTGCTCAGGAGGCAGTCAACATACAATTTTCTTCCCATAAATAATTTCCTTCCCTTCTTGAAATCAACAAAATTGTTCACAGTCCTCTGATAATTCAAAAACCCCCAAAGAGTCTTTGTAAACAGAGAAAACCTCCCTTGATCATACAACCTGTTAGTGGTAGATCTGGAATTAAAGGTGTGATGTCTAATGATCTTGCAGACAACTTTACCAGCAGCGACATTCCTTGTTGGTGACTCCCGAGTCACTCTGGGTAGGGCCAGCTGAGCCAGAGGGTCTTCACAGTAGAGAGTGGACACTCCTGGGACATTAATTTAGCCAAGTGTCAGGCATTACTGATGTAGAGACTGTCAATGGCCCCTGTCCTCCGAGGAGTACCCTTGCCTTGATGACAGCTCATGGACAATTCTAGGAAAGATGTACAGAGCACACGAAGTACACGGAAGGCTGGGAACAGAGTGTCTGCTGGGACAGAAGGGAGAGGGAGAACAGTTGGCCAGACCCCATGGGTTGGCCATCTGGTGGTTTTAGATCTCATGTCCTTTCCATAGTGAGTCCCTAAAACTCATATCCCTGAGGCTGTGCTGGGAGGATGCAAATGGTGAATGCCTGGTGGGCTGTGGAAGCAAAGTTGGAGACAGTTTCTGGGAAGACTAAGGAGCTCCCTGGGATAAGACCAGGTGTTGGAAGTGTGTGGCTGAGCACTGCAGCTGCATCATATTATGATATGATAATAGCGGAAATATGCCATCATACATTTGTCTAAATTCTAGAATGACCCACACCAAGAGTGAATCCTATGATGTGTAGCAGGTTCATCAATTTTGACAAATTGTAACAAACT